AATTATAAGTTGACAATTATATTGAAATAAGAATATAATATGGTCTATTTAATTCAGTATATGTTAGTGGATAATTATATAGAAATGAGAATATAATATCAATCGCTATATATTAATTCTCTCAACTTTAGGGTAACAATTTTTTTTTTTTTTTTTTGGGTGGACTATTTAATATGTAAATTTTATTTATTTATAAACTTATAAAAGATTTTAATGTATATGATGTTATGTAAAAAAATTATTTTCTAATTTTTATAGTGTTTTAGAAATTCATAATATACGAAGGTATTAAGTTGATTAGAGTTTAACTTATTTATTTATCTTCATTCATATTTCTAGAAAATATCATCATTTGATGATTAAATTGTCGTTTTTAGTAACTAACTCGCTTACGCGGGACAATTTTTTCATGGTAAATTATTTTAATTTATTTATAGATATTTTTCATTTATTTTTATATTTATACACATACATATAGTGATATAATTAATACAATCCATACATTCAGATATATTTTTTTAATGATTACCACACTCATGATTTTCAATTATTAGTACGAATCCCGTGCGATGCACGGGTAAATTTTTTTTATTAGTATTTATAAATAAAAAATATGCATCAAATAATATTTTATAAATTAAGAATATTGAATCAATATATAATACAGTTTGCCTATTTTAATTTTTAAAAATGTTATACGAAACTTGAAATTGTACAAAATTACATAAAATATGTATATTTAAACTTAGTACACAACCCATACAATGCACTTAACTAATAATAAATTATATTATTTTTATTTTAAAATAATGTTATTTTAAAAAAATTTATTCAAAATTTCGATTTGACTACAATGTGATTCAATAAAATAAATGTTTTGGTAAAATTTTATCATATATTTAAAAATCTATGTGAAGAATATGTATAATTATAAAACTTATATTGTTTCATTAACTAAAATGAATTTATTTTCGTATGACTTGTCCAAATCAAAGAATTTAAGTAGTTGAATAATTTATTAAACTATAAATAATTGAAAAATTCATTTGCATCCAAGTTAATATTAGCATAAGTTATGAATAACTACTTATTTGATCTATAAATTTAGAACCTAAATTTGGACTACACAAATAAACTTTTTTATATATTTCATGTATAATATATCTTTATATATATATATATGTATTATATATATCTCGCATTTTTTTTTGATTTGTTGTCAGTTACCTTATCGTTCAAAATGATCAATTAATATGTAGGATTAAATTACTAATTTTAAATTTTATTAACCAATGTTTGTTCAAAGATCATCAGAATTTTCTAGAGGAATATATCAATTTGTCGAATTATCATCAATATATTATGGCAAATTACTATGCGAATATGCAAAATTTTAAGAATCGCATCACCTTGATTTTATAAGAATGTGGTTCATCCACATTTTATTTTACATTCTAATCAACCAATTGAGAGATGAGAGAAAAATATTATTACCATTTTCAAAATATCTAATTATTAATTTTTTTTGTTTCTTATTTATATTTTATTTTTATTTTTGCCAATTGACAATATTATGTTTGACCACATTGTGCACGCAGATAATTTTTTAGATTTAAAGTTGTGAACTTAAGAAATATCTTATGTGGTTCACAATCCATATAAACAATTGACATTTGTCAAAATTTATGTGATAACAACATTTATGCATTATAAATGCTCTTATTTTGTTTTAAATAATTTCAATATACTTCTATCCATTCCAAATAAAATTCATACTACTTAATTACGAACATTTCGTACAAAAAATAAATCACCCACTTTATACACCAAAATCGGATGTTTATTATTAACAACACATTTTCTACGAAAGATAAAATGGCTACCAGATACTTAAAATAAAATCATCAACTTTATACCAAAATTGGATTTATTAATTTTGTCAACTTTATACCCTAAATTAATTAAGTAATTTCTAAAAGCCATTTCTACATTTTGTCCAAAATATTTTTTAGCGGCACATTAATATTATTTATGTTTTTGTTTTGGTTATCCTGTCTACGAAAAAAAAGATAATCTTGCAACTCTACTATGCCAACAAAAAGATGTATGAAAAATAACATAAGTATTAATTTATTATGTTTTACTCAATACAGGAAATATAATATAGATATAAAGATTAACAATTAATTCTCTATAATTGCTCAATCAAGTCTATATATTTAAACTAAGGATTTCGAAAGTTTCTATAATACTGTCATATTTGTTTCCATAAAACTAAATCATCCTAAATTTAAAATCAACTAATAAATGTAATAATAGTAAATATTTGACTAAAAAGATTAAGTACATTAATTACATTGATTTTTATTAATTTATTATTTTTAGGTAATAATTAATGAAATTGGCGGAAAAGTGTTTCTAAAAGTGAATTATGTTAATTCTTATTATATATTAATAGATGGTACTTGAGTACACATTATTTTATTTTAAATATTTATAATAAGCATTTTAGTTTTTATAATAGACTTCTATCACCAGTTGCGGATCCAGAAATTTTCATGAGTCAGAGTTAAAAAAAGTTGAATATATATAAACAGATTTATCATTTTTTCAAATATGGCAACTAAATTTTTTGTCAAACCTCTTTCTTCATTAAATGCTTTCTACTTATGACAATTTTTTTTTTCCATGGACAACATTAACTAAAATCCAATACATATGAGCGGTTACTACACCCAAAAATCGCAGCTTTACATGTAAAATTTTTTTGGAAAAAAATTCAAATCTGCAACAGATTTTTAGCAAAAAAAATCCAAGTAATTCGTACAAAAAAAATCTTACAAAAATATGTTAATTAAAACTAAAAAATCAAAATTGTTGAGAGATTTCAAATCGAACAACAGATTTTTAACAAAAAAATCCAAGCAAATCGAACAAAAAAATTCCTAAATCCAACAAAAAAAAACCTAATATTGAAGAATCTTAAAAACCCAATGAAGCAAAAATAAAAATCGCAAACATATAAAAAAAACTAAAAGATAATAAACAAAAATTTTATTTTCGGGCAAAGAAACGAATGATTCCTTTTAAGAATCATAATAATTGTTAAACAATAATACAAAATCGATCAAAAACTTAAAGATTCAAAATAAATTCTAATCTTCATTCGAGCAGGTTTAAATAAAAATGTGAAGAACAACCTAAGAT